GCCACAGAATCCACTAAATGGAAGATTCTGCTCTGGAAGTGATGGTGATACAAATCCAGTCAATATACAATTATTTTATTCATTACTGCCGTTGGTATTGTTGCTGATGCTGGTGTTGTTATTGCATCACGTCCATAATAACAGAACAAAAACAAAAAAGAACAAGAACATATACAAAAAACCCTGTACACACACACTACATGCATGACATTATTAGATTTCCATTCTTTCCCCATCTCAAAGAGATGTGAATCAATGAAAATGTCTGTGTGACTGAATAACTGGATATTGACTGAGTGACTAAAGAACACAATGGTATCCATTTTTTGTTCTTCACCAAGCATGTGTATTCATACATGCATACATACATGTCACAGCCATATGTGGTCTTTAGTATCACTTTTTTAATGTCTTATCAACTATCAGGATGAGAAGAAGGGAGACTTTTTCAAACAAATATTTCAAAACAATAATTTGTTGTGACAATCGGGATTACGGATAATCCATCCTTTATCCACTTTAAGCGAATTATGTAAATTTATTAGAAAACATAGAAAAAGCATAGAATTCAAGCGTGTGATTTCTTTATATTTGACTGGATATAAATGTTTTGGCAGCATATAAATGAGAATAAATCTTTTGTGTCTCGTACCATCGCTCGTCAAGGAAGTGGATTGAAGAAAACAGCAACATCAGTAGAAATGGTTCGAAAAGTGAAGAAGCGACTTGATCGAAACCAGGGTCGCAGTGGCCGAAAAATGGCTCATGAGCTGAACATATCACAATATTCCATTCGGCAAATATTGAAAAATGAGCTCGGGGTAAAACTAAAATAGACTCAAAAGAGACCAGTAAAGAAAGTCTTAAAGTCGGCCCCGCCCGATGATACCCTACAACACTTTGCTAATTTAGTAGAGCTGCGCATAACAATTAAAAGTTTTTATGGGAGAATTCAATCATCATACACGCTATGATTATAATTATAATTTAAAGTTCAAAGGACTAAATATGCCGAAGCATTAGTATCTTTTAAATTCGGACTTGTTTTGCCCATTTGGTGCACAATTAATTTGAAATCGGATAAAAATATATATGGGAGCTATATCCAAATCTGAACCGATCTCGATAAAATTTGGCAAAGATATTTCTGAGCTGTATTTGATATATTTCCCTGAATATTATTGTTACGGAGTGCATATTACGGCTGTGGGTAACAAATATGACAAATCGGATGAACAGTATATATGGGAGCTATAGCTATATCTGAACCGATCTTCACCAAATTTGACATACTAGCTTCTAGACACAATTCGGTCGTAAGTGCCAAATTGCATCCAATTTGGGCAAATATTAGACTTTTGGTTCACAATCAAAGGTAAATCGGACGAAGTTGTATATGGGAGCTATATCCAAATCGGAACCGATCTCGATAAAATTTAGCAAATGTATTTCTAAGCTGTATTTGATACTTTTTCCCAAATATTGTTATTACAGAGTGCATATTAAGGCTGCGGAGGACAAAAATAACAAATCGGATGAACAATATATATGGGAGCTATATCTATATCTGAACCGATTTCAATCACATTTGGCATACTTATTTTTAGGTCCAATCTGATCATACGTGCAAAATTCCATACTATTCGGACTGATATTACACGTTTGGTGCACAATAAAAGGAAAATCGGACGAAGATATATATGGGAGCTATATCTAAATTTTGACCGATTATCTCCAATTTCAATAGGGTTCGTCCTTGGGCCAAACAAATGATTTGTGCAAAATTTCGTCTGGATAGGGCAGTAAATGCGAACTGTACTTTCTTTACAAAAATACATGGACAGACGGCCGGACGGACAGACGGACGGACGGACATGCATAAATCGACTCCGAATGTAATTCTATGCAGATCATCAAAAGGAACTATGGGTCTATCTCGTTTCCTTTTGCCTGTTACAAACAAATGCACAAAGACATAATACCCTGACCACCTTGTGGTGTAGGGTATAAAAAAGAGTGTCTTCGCTTGACCGAAAGTGGTGACCTGCCGAATTTGGTGTTCTCCGATGAGAAAACATTCGTTGTCCAGCAGTTTGTAAACAAACAAAATTATAGTGTTTACTTGCCAAAGAGGTCAGCTGAAAATTTGCACCTTCGGTTGGCTACCAGAACTCAAGCGCCGGCCATGGTGATGGTTCGCGCTCTCCGCTCGTATTAATCGACCATGGCATCAGAATAAAAACCGAATATTATCACGAAAATATTCTGGAGGGTGTATTAAAGTCTTGGGCACGCAAACATTTTGGCCGCAGACCTTGGACATTCCAACAAGACTCAGCACCATCGCACTCAGCACGCGCCACCCAAGAATGGTTACAAAATGAGGTTCCTCGCTTCATTTCCAGCGCACAATGGCCACCAAAATCTCCGGATACTAATCCGTTGTCTGCGTATTTTGGAAAGCAAGGTTGGCACTAAAAAATGCCAAAGTGTCGATCATCTCAAGCAAGCACTTCGCCGGAAATGAGCCAAAATACCGCAGATCAACATTCGGACAGGGTGTGACGGTTTCATTGGCCGTTTGAAGGCCATAATTCTTGCCAGAAGTTACCAATTCGAACGAATCTAAACTTATTCTAAAATTTGATGTTATTTCCGACATTTTTTGCTTTCATTCAATAAAGTTTAAAAAATGTAAAAATGATGGCGTTTGACTTTGTTGCAGTTTTTTATGTACATATAAACGGGTTGGTATGGGCAAACTTACAAGAACATAGAACATTTATATCCAATTTATGGGAAATCATAAATTCCATATTCATCTCAGGTTTCTGGTTGAGAGACGTATATTTAGATATAGCAAGTTGTGAAGAATCGCTGACTTGTTTCGCAAGTTATGACAGATAAAAGTATTGAAAATTGTGACCCATTGTGGGTGAGGTACCAGAAAGGGGTTCGCAGATATATTTCATCTTTACAACAGATCTTGTATGTGTGAAATTTGAGAGTTGGATGCTTATTTCGCTTTCTTGGAGAGTTTTGTTTTTCAAAATCTTGAACCCTATGTGGGGGGACAGGTAGCAAAATAAATGGTCCAATCTCTACCATCTTTATAACAGATCTGGTGTTGATGGCAATATTAAGATTTACCAAGTCTAGAATGGAATCGGATATTAATTTCGTTTTTTTTTTTTTTGTGGGCTTCATGGATATTCAAAATTTTAAACCTTTGGGGGAGAGGTACCAGAAGGAGTGGACCGATATATCCCATTTTCACAACAGACCTTGCGTCAGTAAAAATAATGGGATGTGTGAAATATAAATAGAACCTGGTGCTCATTTCGCGTTGTATGACCTTCATGGATATTCAAAATTTTAACCCTTGTAGGGGGTGTACCAGAAGGAATGGTCCGATCTCTACCATCTTTATAACAGATCCTGTGTTGAAGGAAATATTTAGATGTGCAAAGTCTAAATGGAATCGGACGTTAATTTCGTCGTTTTGTGAGCTTAATGGTCATTCAAAATTTCGACCTTTTGAGGGGGAGGTACCAGAAGGAGTTGACCGCTATATTCCATCTTAATACCAGATCTTGAGTTTATAAAAAGTTCTTGAGTTTGAAGACAATCGGACTCTCATCACATCACATTTTATAAGAGTTGTAATTATTCAAAATTTCGACTAGGCACGTTTTGATCGTATCAAATGATATATATCCTCTCTAGCATAAAAAAAACATAAAATTCCTCTTGTTCAGAGACCCACAATGAAATTTGATTTAGAATATTTCTACCTTTGGACTTGGTCTAAAGAGAACTAAGGTATAAGACCATTATTTCAATGAGACAAGTTTCGACCTTAACAAATGATATACACCCCCTATAGCCGCCATAAAGCTGAGGAAATAATTGCCTAAGTTGCCAAAAAAAAATAATATCCATGACGATCAATTTAAAATTGTAGTAGCAAAGACGCAAACATTTTTCAATATTCTTTAAAAATTTATACTAAAGTTATACAGGGTGAGATAGAAAAACTTCAGACTGCTGTCATTTCTAAGCCACTCGTCCGACAGCTGTTAAAAAGTCCGACGTTAAGGAAATGGGCGGAACAAAATAGCAACATCAGCAGAAATGGTTCGAAAAGTAAAGAAGCGAATTGATCGGAACCCGCGTTGAATCGGAACATATCGCAATATTTCATTCGCCAAATATTGAAATATAAGCTCTGGATAAGGCCATCGAAATTCCAAAAAGTCCAAAAATTTACACCTTGACGGAAAAAAATAGACTCCAAAGAGCTAAAGAGTTTCTTCGCTTGGCCGAAAGTGGTGAACTGCCGAATTTGGTTTTCTCCGAAGAGAAAACATTCGTTATCCAGCAGTTCGTAACAAACAAAATGATCCTGTGTACTTGCCAAAGAGTTCAGCACCTTTGGTTGGCCACCAGAACTCAAGCGCCTGCATGTCCGTCAAGATAAATTTAAATTTAATTAGCAAAGACACAAAACAAGGTGATTTTTTCTCCGGTTCGCAAAGGGTTAATAAAGAGAGAGAGAGAGAGATAGAGAGAGGGAGTAGTAAACCAAAGAAAAATTAAAGGTAAATTAAATTATATTAGTTTTCATCAAATTTCATAATTTTCCGTACAAATTAAAAAATTTAAAATGAAATCACTGAATGAAAACCTAATTAAAATTTACGTTGAAAAACTTTGAAACCCTTAACTCTACATTTAAACCGAGAATAAAATATTTAAAAATGAAGCGGTGTCGTGGCTGAGCACAAATGAAAGGTCTCGAGGAGTACTTTCCGAATCTGTGGACCTTATAGTCGAAAAGAATTTCAGACTTAGGAATTTTTTGCATGGTGATGATGTGGGCCGCCATAACAGCCGATCGTCGCTCGCTGGAGGGTGTATTGAATCCTTGGTCATACAAACATTTTGACGGTCCTCAAATTGTTTAAATTCAAATTAACTGTACTAAAGAGTGGACTTACCATTGCGTGAAACATCCAGTTCCACAAGATTTTCAAAATGTTGTATATCCGGAGGTAAACGAGCAATTTCATTGTCACTCAAGCCCAATTTCCGTAAACGATGGAGTCTGAAGAAATTCTGAAAAAAAAGACGAAAAACATTTGGAAAATTAATAATTTTGAAAGAAAAAAAACAAAACGTTGATGGAAAAACAAAAACACCAACAACTGTAAGTAACCCAAATCTAGGGCGTCCCAACATTATTTCTCTAAACTTGTTGCACGATTTTTGTGCAACAACAAGCAAATCAAGTCATACAACACCAAAGCCCAAAGAAAAACAAAGGCCAAACTATCAAAGGCAAAACATAATCTTTCTTCATCAGCGTCATCAGGGCTGTCATAGCAAAAAAAAGGAAAAAGAAGAGGGGAAAAAGGAACGTTGATGACATGCAACTCACGAATGTGAAAGAAGTAAGACACAAAAATGAAAACACCACAAAAAAGTCTAAACAGGGGATAAAGAAAGTGCTGCCCCCCTCCCCCCCCCCCTTCTGCTGATATTATCCCTCTCCCCAAAAAATGTCTTGGGAATGAAGGAGATTTGAATTATTTCAGGAATAAGATTATGAAGCTATGTTTTCAAATGAAAATCCATTTTTGGTATGGAGTACCTGACTGAATGCCTAGGTTGGATGGCGGGATGCAAACTGTTCCTGCAACCACAATATTATATTTCCTTTTTTCTAGTTTAGAGGTTTGTTCCTTCTTTCGTTCGTTCGCTCAGACTGACTAACTGACTGACTGACACATAGACAAAGTGGCGTTGTTGTTGACGGTGGTGCTGGATGGTGGCGGATGTGATGCTATGACTAAGTGCCACGTCAGACTGCATATTGAGGAGTAATAAATTTACAATTTCATGCCATTTGTAACAATGAAATATTAAAGTACAACATGCTGTGCATCTGGCCATCTCTACTCCCCTGCACCTGCTGCCAGTCAGCCGGCTGACATTTCCCTCTTCCCGAGCTTACAAAGGCAAACAATCTTTACTTTCAAATTGGCCATAGGTGAATGTAATGGATGAGATAGATGGTTGCCGTTCCAACGAAGCACCATCATCATCTGGAAGACCTACATCTGCAAGCAACAAATGATGACGAAGACATGCTGATGCTGAAGTTAGACGACAAAGTCAACGTTGCGGTAAGCAAGAGATACCGCCAACGAAGCAGCCAGTTCTTGCTACTCTACAACGAGCAGAGGAGAGATCATGTCCAGAGGTTGAATGTGGATGTGGATGATCGTATTACCATGTCTTTCACTAAAGTGAAATAAAAGGTGGGTAATTTAATTCATGTTTAGGGTATCTAGGGGTATCATGCTTCACCCTCCCCTCCCCCACTAGACTTGGCTTAGAGACAGACCATCAAACACAAAAATGTTAACATTCACAAACGTTTTTTTTTCTGTCTGTCTGCTGTTTTGCTTTGAACGTGGATGAATGTTAAAGGTGTTACAGATTACTTTTCCATTTTGTCCTCCTTACTCCTACCCCAGTCTCTTCCGCCGGAGAGATTTTAACAATCATGCCAAATGACTTTCAAATGATGACGATCCATTTATTAAAATCACGAATCCTAGTTTTTTTCTCTTCATTTTCTTTTTTTTTGTGGTTGGCGTTTCTAGTTCGCTTTATTGCCATTTAATCGGGATGTTGTAGTTGATGTTCTGAATTTCATTTTATTGGAGCAAAATAGAAAGGACGACTGCATGAAAAATAAAAAAACAACAGCAAAGATTATTAGAAATCTTAATTTGGCGGAAGATTAATTGCCTGTAGGATGAGCGAAGACAATTTTTTAACCGAAACGAATTGTCCAAAGTTTTCCAAACAAAAACGAGAGCATGGAATATGATTATTAAACTAGACCATGGGAAATGGAAAGGAGAATCAACAAAAAAATTAAAAAGCTGAAGATTTTCTTTGTAGGAAGAATAAAAATATTGGGACTAGGAATTAAAAATTTAATATCTTTGACGAAAACACTCATTTGTTTGGTAAACCGGGACGAAGGTTGGGAATACCTAAAAAACGTTATTTTTCTAACATTTTTGTAAATTTTACATGGGTAACATATGTCTTGCCTAGTTGGGACACACATTTGGATAAAGGTGGTTCTAAAAAGCCAGTACTAAATAATTGGCTCTTCTAATCGAAAAAGTCAGGGAAGTCCCTCAGACCATTCGTTCATGTATACCATTTTTGAGGGACATACCAGAAGATTGGACCAACATATCCCAAATGTACATCTGATCTACATATATTCCAATGTGAGAAATTTGAAGAGAACTATTGAATCACTTAAATTTTCATAACAGCTCCCACATTCATTCTCACCTACTTTTCAACCAACTGCAGACTGCTGTCATTTCTCAACCACTCGTCCAACAGCTGTTAAAATTATTCTAGTGACAGTTCGTTATATTGTTTACAAGCGTACAAAGCATTTTGGTAAAAATTTTCCAGAAAAAGTTATTCGTGATGGAATTCAAGCGTAATAGTGTGATTTCTTTATATTTGGCTGGAAAACCACAAGTGGCTATCGTTAGAGCACTCCAGCATTTAAATGTGAATAAATCTCTTGTGTCTCGCTCGTTACCGTGATACTGGTAGCGTAGCCCGACGTCAAGGAAGTGGACGAAAGAAAACAGCAACTTCAGCAGAAATGGTTCGAAAAGTAAAGAAGCGACTTGATCGAAACTCGCGTCGTGGTGGCCGAAAAATGGCTCGTGAGCTGAAAACCTCGCAATATTCCATTCGGCAAATATTTAAAAATGAGCTCGGGGTAAACCCATTGACATTCCAAAAAGTGCAACAACTTACACCGCAACAAAAAAAAATAGACTCAAAAGAGATAAAGAGTTGCATCGCTTGATCGTGGTGAACTGCCGTATTTGGTTTTCTTCGATGAGAAAACATTCGTTTTCAGCTGAAATGTGCACCTTCGGTTGGCCACCAGAACTCAAGCGCCGGCCATGGTGATGGTGTGGGCCGCCATAACAGCCGATGTTCGCTTTCCGCTCGTATTAATCGACCGTCCTTGGGCAAGCAAGGCCTAAGACATTCCAACAGGACTCAGTACCATCGTACTCAGCACGCGCCACCCAAGAATGGATACAAAATGAGTTTCCTCGCTTCATTTCCAGCGCACAATGGCCACCAATGGTATCCGGGGATTCCAATCCGTTCGACTATTCTGTCTGAAGTATTTTGGAAAGCAAGGTTGGCACTAAAAAATACCAAAGTGTAGTTCACCTCAAGCAAGCGCTTTGTCTGGAATGGGCCAAAATACCGCAGAGCAACATTCGGGCAGATTGACGGTGACGGTTTCATTGGCCATTTGAAGGCCATTATTCGTGCTAAAAGTTAACCAATTCGAACAAATCTAAACTTATTCTAAAATTTGATGCTATTTCCGACATTTTTTGCTTTCATTTAATAAAATAAAAACCAGTAAAGAAAGTCTTAAAGTCGGCCGGGGCCGACTTTATGATACCCTACACCACTTTGCTAATTTAGTAGAGCTGCGCATAACAATTAAAAGTTTTTATGGAAGAATTTAATCATACACTCTATGATTATAATTATAATTTAAAGTTCAAAGGACTAAATATGCCGAAGCACTTGTATCTTTTAAATTCGGACTTGTTTTGCCCATTTGGTGCAAAATTAATTTGAAATCGGATAAAAATATATATGGGAGCTATAGCCAAATCGGAACCGATCTCGTTAAAATTTGGCAAAAATATTTCTGAGTTGTATTTGATATATTTCCCTGAATATCATGGGTATGCACTCGTTGGAGTGCATATTACGGCTGTGGGTAACAAATATGACAAATCGGATGAACAGTATATATGGGAGCTATATCTATATCTGAACCGATCTTCACCAAATTTGACATACTACCTTCTAGACTCAATTCGGTCGTAAGTGCCAAATTTCATCCAATTTGGCCAAATATTAGACGTTTGGTAGGTAAATCGGACGAAGTTATATATGGGAGCTATATCCAAATCTGAACCGATCTCGATAAAAGTTAGCAAATGTATTTCTGAGCTGTATTTGATATATTTCCCCAAATATTGTTGTTACAGGGTGCATATTACGACTGCGGAGGACAAAAATAACAAATCGGATGAACAATGTATATGGGAGCTACAGCTATATCTGAACCTATTTCGATCAAATTTGGCATACTTATTTTTAGGTCCAATCTGATCGTACGTGCAAAATTCCATACTATTCGGACTGATATTACACGTTTGGTGCACAAAAAAGGCAAATCGGACGAAGATATATATGGGAGCTATATCTAAATTTTGACCGATTTTTCAATAGGGTTCGTCCTTGGGCCAAACAAATGATTTGTGCAAAATTTCATCTGGATAGGGCAATAAATGCGAACTGTACTTTGTTTACAAAAATACATGGACCTTTTGTCTGTTACAAACAAATGCACAAAGACATAATACCCTGACCACCTTGTGGTGTAGGGTATAACAAGAGCATGGAATATGATTATTAAACTAGACCACGGGAAATGAAAGGAGAATCAACAAAAAAAAAAAATCAAAAAGCTGAAGATTTTCTTTGTAGGAAGAATAAAAATTTTGGGACTAGGAATTAAAAATTTAATATTTTTAATTAAAACACTCATTTGTTTGGCAAACCGGGACGAAGGTAAGGAATACCTAAAAAAGGTTATTTTTCGGACATTTTTGTAAATTTTACATGGGTAACATATGTCTTGCCTAGTTGGGACACACATTTGTATAAAGGTGGTTCTAAAAAGCCAGTACTAAATAATTGGCTCTTCTAATCGAAAAAGTCAAGGAAGTCCTCCCTCAGACCATTCGTTCTTGTATACCCTTTTTGAGGGACATACCAGAAGATTGGACCAACATATCCCAAATGTACATCTGATCTACATATATTCCAAGGTGAGAAGTTTGAAGAGAACTAATGAATCATAATAGCTCCTACATTCATTTTCATCTACATCTAAGATGAAAAAACTGCAACCAGCTGCAGACTGCTGTCATTTCTCAACCACTCGTCCGACAGCTGTT